TCCATGTTCTATCATATAGTTCTGAAATCTTAAGTCCATGTACTCTCCTCCTCGATCTGATCGAAGTGTTTTAATAGTTTTACCTAATAGATTCTCAACCTCAGTCTTAAACTCTCTGAATTTTTCAAGAGCTTCGAACTTGTGATGCATTAGGTAAAGATAGTCATACCTTGAATAATCATCAATAAAACTGATGAAATATTGATACGCTTCTCGTGCTTTGACAATCATTGGACCACAAAGATTTGTATGCACGAGTTCTAAGGTTTCTTTGGCTCTATAATCTTTTTCGGAAAACGATCGTTTAGACATTTTACCCTCAAGACAAGACTCAGATTGAGGTAAAGAGTTGTCTTCTTACACATTTAGAAGTCCTCTTTTAACCAATCTCTCAATCCTATTGAGATTAATGTGGCCTAGTCTTAAGTGCCAAAGATAGGTATTAGGAGAAATCTTTTGTCGTTTATTTTGAGTTTTAGCTATTTTAAACATCTCAGTATTTAAAATGACTTTTGTTTCGCTCGGTTTTAACATATATAAATTGTTTTCTAGTTTTGCAGAACAAATATGAATACCTCTTTTGCAAATGAACACTTCATTAATTTCAAAAGATACTTTATACAATTGTTCAAATAAACAAGAGATAAATATTAGATTTTTTTTTTTTTTTTCAGGAATAAAAAGTACATTATCTAATATAACGAATCTATCTCCAAAAAAACAACTTTAAATTCTATACTGATCTTGCTGAGACAACCTCTCCTGTTCCAACCCTGAGTTTATCTCGCCGTCCACAAGCATTCTCCAGGAGCTAGTTTCCTGGTAAAAAGAATAAATATAATTAGTCGCCCCTGAATCTAGTATCCAAGTTGAGTTGTCATACTCTACTAAACATATTTCTACAACGAGTAAATCATATTTACCTTGTTGTGCCTTTTCGGCTTTCTTCTCAGCAAGGCATTTTGGGCAATTTCTCTTCCAGTGCCCGTTTTCGTTGCAATGGAAACACTTTCCTTTATCTGCATTCTGAACCTTGTGTTTGCGATTAGTAGGAATCTTATTTTTTCTTTTACCCTTCTTCTTCATCAAAACACTTTTAGAAGTTGAAGAACCAAACTTATTTTTGGAGGACAATCCTCATAGTAATTTCTTAGAGATAGCAACATTTGCTTCTCCTGTTTGTCCCTTGTTCGTTAAGAGGGACTGATAAGTCTGTAGCTCATTGAGAAGAGCAGTCAAGTTATATGCTATTTTGTTCATCACCATATTTGTGTAGATTTGAAAGAAGCTCTTCGGAAGAGACTCCATAATAAAACTGACTTGACTCTTCTCATCAATGACAGCTTCATTTTTTTCTGCCACATTGAAATGGACCATCATGTCCAGGACATGTTCTCTAACTGGGGTCTCTTCTTTCATATGGGAGTTGTAAATGTATTTTATGGCTTCATGTCTAAGGGAGAAGGACGGTTGTCCAAACATCCCTTTTTGAGAATCTCTTTAGCAATACCCATAACATCGTGTTTCTTAGCGAAAACATCAGATATGCTGGCTAGAATGTACATTTGGGCTTTGTCATTTGCCTTTATCCATCTATCATACGCATCCCGAACTGTTTGGTGTGCATTTGAGCTGGGGTTTGGAGGACATTCCTCTGGTTAAAACAAACCTTAAATCATCAATTACCAGTATTGTGTTTAAGTTTGATTTCCAAGTTGTGTAATTGTCGCCGTTTAATTTCTGAGAAGTGAGTAATTGTACTATTGAGTTTGTCATGCTGTGTGATACAAAAAAAATTCTATTAGTGATTTGACTTAATCCTATTTAATCCAATAAGGTTTAACAAATGTAATAATGTACCCAGAAATTATTAATTTTCAACGATACTTTAGTGAGTTAGAGCAACTGCTACCGAGGGGCAGTCAATCCCTCCTAAGTCAATGTCTAATAGGTCTCTAAATTTTCATTTTTTTTAAGTTAAACATTTTACAAGTAAGAAATTGAACCATCAAACTTTTTGATCTTAATTCATACCCTATCTACTAAATTATGCTTAGGGTAGTTCATACCTTATCTACAAATGGTCAAAATGTATCTAAACAATATTTTGACCCATAACATAATAGGACAAATTGTTTGTTTAGTAAATGGTCAAAATGTATCTAAACAATATTTTGACCCATAACATAATAGGACAAATTGTTTGTTTAGTAGGAGAATTTATGGGTCAAACTAAACTTTTTGACCCATAACATAATAGGACAAATTGTTTGTTTAGTAGGAGAATTTATGGGTCAAACTAAACTGAGTGACCCATAACATAATAGGACAAATTGTTTGTTTAGTAGGAGAATTTATGGGTCAAACTAAACTGAGTATATTAGGTTGTTGAAAATGAATTAATTTTGTAAATATTTGAATATTTGAGTTTAGTTTGTTCCCTTTTATACGAGTAAAATTAGGTGTAATCTCAATTACTCCCATGGAAATGAAAGAAACATGTTATCGTTGTATTGAGATAGGTAACCAGCATATTAACAAATGTTTTTATTTATTATTAGTAGTATTTTAGTTATTTTCAAAAAACCACCAATAGGAGTTATTGTTAACCATTTGTCATTGGCAGTAACACGTGTTCTAAAGTGTAATGCAATAGTCCATTAAATTTGAAGTTGATGAACAAGGACGTTTCGACATTTTATATTACTGTTGTAAATGAGAGCAATTATCGACATGTTTGGTAACGAGTTCTTATTGTTTATAATAAAAATATAATCATGTTTGATAACAATTTTTTTTAATTAAAAAATATATTTTTGAAACATATGGAATAAAAATATAATCATGTTTGATAACAATTTTTTTTAATTAAAAAATATATTTTTGAAACATATGGATATTATGGAAATGCCACTTGATTTTTTGTTAAGCAAAGAGGATACTATCTCATGTAGACCATTAGGATAGTCCTTGGAGTTTATGCAACTCTGTGACTACCCTAACCCAAGAAGAGCTCAAAAATAGCACTTTATTAAGCAATTAGGTTACTATCTAAGAATAAACTTTAGAATGAGCCTTTAAGCAAAGTGGTTACTCTCTTATAATTAATAAGTAATTTGGATGCTTCCCTAAATTAGAATGAGCTCCTCTTGAGACCTTGACTTTTAAGTAATTAGAAGACCACCTTAATAACATGTATTAAGTAAGCTTATCACACACCAAAAAAATTCCAAGGCACAAAGAATGCTAAGAACAAAGAACCAAGGTTCTAAGACTCCGAAACAAAAGAAAACCCTATTTTTTTCATGGTAAACTATGACTCAAACTACATTGCTTGGAGTGTAAGAAGTCTTCAATGCAAGTTTCAAAGTACGCCACTTGGAATATATGAAGCCTTGAGCATAAGCATTCAAACTATGTCGTTTGGAATGTAGAAGGCTTGAGCATAGGTTTCTAGACAGTGTCACTTGAAACATATGAAGCCTTAGACGTAGGTTTCAGAGTACACCACATGGAACATAATAATCATTTGGTGCAGGTTTCAGATTGTGTCGCAAAGAATTCATTAAGCCCTTGATACATGTTTAGACTGTGTCTGGAAAATCGACCTAAACATGATCACTCACATAAAGTTGTTACTACATACATGACATAATTAATGTGTACGCAAAATATTCATATAAAATATTTCATAAAAGGTGTCATGGGCTCCCACGTTCCTAATAAAATCTTTAAAACAATAATGCGAAAAATAAATCAGGTGAAGTTTAGATAAAATAATGAAAAATAAAAACATTGACGTGAACTAACCTAAGGACTACTAAATAGACATAAATTGTGTCTACCCTACCTCTAGTTCCATGGCTTTCGTCACGGCGTCGCCATCCGTACCTTGGTGCCTAACATTTACTTGAAAAATAAGAGTATTACGTGGTTTAAGTAGTTTAAGAAATACGTAGTAAGTAACTGTACATTTGGTGTCTAGAAATACAAACACATGTGACATGATAGGTTCTAATGGCATTGCCTTAGGTAGCTTTCCAGTTCCGGCAAGGTTGTATGTATAGTACTCTTCTACACACGACCGAACCACGAGCACGAGGACCCACCTGAGGGCTCATGTATTTCCTAGGCCTGTCTCAATGGACTAGAACTCGCTAATGTGCTTTCAGACACCATGGAGGGAAAGGGCCTGCGTAACATTGGGACGAACATAATTGTCGTAAGTCGTAAAGTACACATTTGTATTAATCATAATAGAAAAGTATCACGATGCATATGAGATACAAAAATTCATGAGGTCTCCATGCATTAAAATAACGACATAAATTTATACTGCAAGTCAAACCTCCAATTCCCTTATAACGTAATTATGTAGACATAATTCTTATCAAATCTTTCGTATACACGTCCTAACACATCATAGATTATCATCATAATAACATATTATTATACATAGTATAGTCACACTATAGTCTAGCTTATAAACATGGCATAACACGACATTGGATAGCATAACAATCATAATTATGACATGCTCAAGGGAAACACGTATGCGTTATAATACGCAATACAATTCATCCAACCAAGCAAATAATAGAGTCACTTACTTGATAGGTTTAGCAAGGGTTGTTAGTTTATCTTTGGAGCTAGTCTAATTTGGTGGTGGCTTAATGAGACATTTTGGGATTAATAAAACTTATAATATGTTGCATGAACACTTCTTTTGATCGAAGATGAAGTACGATGTTCACAAATTTTGTAGTCAAGAATAATTGTTTAGGGATTATGCAAAGCATGTTGTTGGCTTATTCTTTAGGGAAGTAGTAAGATTACATGGAAACCCAAGAATAATTGTTAGAGATACGGATGTTAAACTTTTAAGTCACTTTTGGAATGTATTGTAGGGTAAGTTGGGTACCAAGTTGTTGTTTTCAACTACATGTCATCCTCAGACAGATAGGATAGTTATTATTTCTAAGAATATTAAGTTTTGAGATGAAAGTTTGTCATATGTAGAGAGAGGAATTCATAGTACCACTCATTGTACTTCTTTTGAAGTTGTTTATGAATTTATTCCACCTATGCTTCTTGATTTGTTTCCTATTCTTTCTAATATTTTTTTTTGTGAGTGAAGGAGCACAAGTAAGACAAATTTGATCAAAGTATTGCACAAAGAGGTGAAAGGTTGCTTCAGGAATTAATAAAGAATGGAAGAAAATTATTTTTCAACGATGACTGGCTTTGGATACATTTTCACAAAAAGCGATTCACATCTCAAAGAAAGACCAAGTTACATCAAAGGTGATGACCCTTGTCAAGTTCTTGTTCGTAAAAGAATTAATAACAATGCCTATAAAATTGATCTTCTCGGAGAAATTTCAGTATGTTCTATTTACAATGTTAATGACTTGACTCCTTTTGATGTAGGTGATAATTTTCGTGATTCGAGGACGAATCCTTTTGAAGAGAGGGAAGATGAACACGGAGCATTATATACTGTCAAATATATGTATATTCTATGTATATCGAACATTATATACTTTTGTCTTAAAATATCCTAAAAATGCATGTATAAATCATATTCAATATAACTATATTATTAAAATTTAAAAAGAAACTCATTCCTGTTATAATATATGTATTTAAAAATAGTATAGAGTGAATGAATGGTTTAAAAATAGTATAAGATATTGAGGAATGAGAAATTTAAAATATATATGATATATATAAAAAAGAAACTAAAATTAGTAATGTAATAAAAGATGAATTCAATTGGAGTCATACTTACACATGCTGATTCGCCCAAATCCAAGCTCAGACTACTGGACTCATGAGATTTCGGTTCTATCAACCCATGCACCAAGGAGAACTGGAATGTTGTACAAGATTTAGAAGCCGTAAGTAATTTTAGCATTAATCTCGCGAGTTTTAAAAATATCTAAAACAAAACTTTTCTTTAGGTAATTTTTAAAATTTCTAGTTTAAAGTACATAAACATATTTTTAAAATTTTCTATTTAACAAAATCTCGAAGTCTTCCTATAACGACTCGACTCGAAATTTTCTATTTAATTTCGCTGATGTATACCAACCATAAACATTGAATATGTAGAAGACTTCATTGAAATTCCATCAAACATCATGAGTGGACTTGTTGGGATATGGAGAGATCTGCTACACATATATTTGGAAGATATTTACTAAAGTTGTTGGGATATCTGAGAGATATATTTGGAAAATATTTCATAAAGATAGGATAGAGATATATATGGGAGATAATTAGTAAAGATTGGATAGAGATATATTTGTTAGATTATATGTTTGTTAAATCTTTGGTAAACATCCTATTCTAGCCTAAGTCTAAAAAAAATAAATACCACTATCCTATGCATGTGTCATGGTCTCGAGTTGCGATGTCGTTGTCAGCTATACAGGAATACCTTGCCTTAACCTGGAAAATGTAGTAGCACATGACTTGAGTATTCTTGAGTATTTAAAAAAATACTTAGTAAGTGACCCCACTATTGGGGTTAAATGCAAGAACATACGAATGCAATGACGGGACCTATCCTTTCAATCTATTTACATATAGTACTGTCCTAACGGGTAATTTAGACGTGTACAATATACTCTACACACAGCCTGTACGCTGACTAGTCAATTCGCACACTGCTGGGCAACCGTCACGGCAGCGCTATGCAAAACATAGCGATCGTTGTCCCGTCATTAGATGTATGCGTCCGTACCCTCTGATGGAATAGGGGTATCCCCAAATGCATGAGCACACATAATTGTGGGTCCATACTCGCATGTATGGGGTGTTTATAGTATATGGTACACATCCAAGCAACCCGTTAGGATAGTACAATAGGAAAATAGACTGTAATGATAGGTCTCATGTTCTTGCATTCGCATGTTCTTGCATCATAACTTCGATAGGGGGTCGTTTACTAAGTATTCTTAAAACACTCAAGCCTTGCTACTATATTTTTCACATAATGGCAAGGCGCCCCTATAAGACTAACGGAAGCTTCACAACCACGAGTGGACATGCTTCGTTTCAGGTATTTTGGCCAGAGAACTCGCATTGGCTTTCTGAACGATGCAACGTTAAAAACTGCATTTGGGCAGCATTTGATGATGGATTTTACTTAAAAAATCTTCATCCTGGGAAGTTTGAATTGATACACCCTTGGGAAAAATGAAGTAAAATCTCCCACACTCATTTTGAGTTGTGGGGTTTCTTTTATGTTGCATATTTAAGTCTAATAAAAGGGGAGGAATCTTTTGGGAATTTATAGTTCTTTGGATGTTTATAATTTGGTTGGGTTTCTAGTTTCTACTAGTATCGACCCATGTGCAAGCTTTCAAACTCTGGATTTGGCCATTAATGTCACTTCTCACTTCTAAGAGTGAAAACTATCTCCACAGACAAACATGAGTCCTTCTACCATGTTTTTTCCTTACTTACATGTTTTCTACGAAAATTCTCAAGAGATCTTCCAACATAAAATTGCTCAAAGAAAAGCATATTTAATCTCGAAGTTCTTATGATTAAGCCAACAAAAAGGAAAGTGCATCTCGTTGATATAGGTAGTAAGTTTCAATTCTTTTTAAGCATTTCTTAGTCATCTATACTCTGGGTCGCTTTATCGGATATAATCTTGGTTCATTCATGTACTCTCTTTTACTCGGGTATCACTCTACTCAAAACCCTTTCACAATTAAGTAATATTTTAGGTTTTAACATTTTAAGGGTAACAAATTAGGACGAAAAGAAAATATGTATAATAATTGGAAATGTCAAGGTTAATAACATAAAACAGATATATGCAAGGGACTCAGGTCAATTTTCCTTAAAAAAAAAAAAAAGAAAAAAAAAAGAAGAATGATGGTAAATTGCAACTCTCTAACTTGAAAACCAACCAACTGTCAAAACATTTCTTTATTTAAAAAATAACTTTAAAGATTATTTGTTATGCTCCTGAAGAAAAAAATAAAACATGTACAAGGGAAATGATCTTTACAAGACTATGAAACGAAAGAAACTATATGGGAATAGAGGGAAGAATTTAGGAGACGTACCCGAGTAATTCCAATATTAAGACACTTTCGAGGATGAGAGTTTCTTCTTGACGTGTATGATGTATGAACAAAAAATAAAAAATAAATAAAAGAAGCAGAACTTTGTGCCACATTACTAAAGCTGAGAAGTGGCGGGTTGGCCTCCACTATAAAAAAAGGAGGTCCCCCACTTCATTTTATCATCCTAAATGAACGGTTCGAGCCAGTCAGAGAGTACACTTTCTAACGGCTCAAGGCCAAAATTTTGGTTGATTCGCTCAGACTCTTTCCTCCTAGTTTCAATTTTTAGAAAGCGTTCAAAGTTAGTATGCATGACTACCTTCTGGCTAGTTAAATTTTTTGAATCGAGTTTAAATTATTTATGCATGATTAGGCCTAATTTAAACGATTAGGAGTCAGTTTCTATGCAGTATTGGGCTTAGTTTAAATTATTGGGACTGAGTTTCTATGCTTAGTTTAAATTATTGGGAGTAAGTTTTTATGCATAATTAGACTTAAGTTAAATTTTTGTGATCCAATTTAAATTATTTATGCGTAATTAGCCATAGATAGTTTAAATCATTAAGTGTAAATTTTTATGCATAATTAGATTTAGCTAGTTTGTGAAACGTTATGTTGAAAGCATGAAAATGTGACGTCATGTCTTGTGAATTGCATGTATAGAATGATAAGAATGACATGAAGAACGATTAATAACATGAAATATAATCCCGATACAAGCATGAACGATATGATAATTGATATGAGAAATGGTATGATATCAATGAAATGACAGCGGGGGATATATTTAATAATGTTGAAAATGGAAAAATATTGGGACCTCATGCATTCATGTGTGCTCATGCATTCGGGGATACCCGTATTCCTTCACGATGGTATTGGTGCATACACCACAAGGCAGGATAACTTCCGTCAACGTTTTAAGTAATGCTGCCGTGACGGCTATTGTTTCTAATGGGTATCCGGCATAGGGAGCTACCAGAGCATGCTCGCCCGCCAAGGAAAGGGGCCAGGGGTGTGCGAACTGACTCGTGGGTCCATACTCGCACGTATGGGCCATGTGTATAGTATATGGTACACATCCAAGCTACCCGTTAGGATAGTACCATTGGAAAATAGACTGTAATGCTAGGTCTCGTGATTGCATTTGCATGTTCTTGCATCATAACCTCGATAGGGGGTCGTTTACTGATGTATTCTTAAAACACTCAAGACTTGTGCTACTATATTTTTCACATAATGGCAAGGCGCCCTATAAGACTGACGGAGGCTTCGCAACCACGAGTTCGTGACACATGCATAGGATACTTTCGCATAATAATTTAATAGTATATGTTGAGTAGTATTTTTATTTGACAATATTATAGATTAGTATAGGCTAAATTGTATTTGCTGTTGACAATAGTATAGATCAGTGTGGTCAGAGTTGTATTTGCATTTAATAAACTATAAGTTGATATGTATTTGTATTTAATAAAGTTTAGGTCGAGTTATATTTGCCTTTAATAAAGTATAGGTTAGTATAGGTTCAGTTGTATTTATAATTAGGTCATTGGTTAGTATAGGGCATTTCATTCAATAATGTTTTTCATTTTTTCTTCGTAATTGTTTATTACCGAGGTAATAAATGAGAAATGAAGTTAATGTGGAATTTATAATAAGGGTTCATTAGAGTAATTGCGCATTAAATATTGGGTTAAATCTCAAGTAATGGTGTTAGGTTAAATAGAAAAGTTTAGGGTGGAAGTCTCCTTAAAGATGCGATTTAAAATTGTGAAGCAAACGATATTGCATAACGTGCCAAAGTGGACAAAGCGTACAATATCGACTAACGAAAAATTTGGATGTTTGAACATTCGACCACGCCCTCTAAATTTTTATTTTGTTTGAACATTTATAACTCTTCCTTAAATCTCCCCTCTAGAAAGGTAATTGAGAAAATATAGAAAATGCAACTGTCTAGTTTATGTTTAACCCAACTTTGTTTTTTTTCATGTCCACCAAAAACAGCAAATGAAAAAGAATTAGTATTCGCAATTATGCAACAATTATGGATATCCAACCTCAAAACATTCATAGGAGTTAATTTTTAGAGTGGATATCAACCTTAGATCAGCTTCTCATGTGGCTTTAACAGCTTGTTCAAACAGGTATTTATTTTTATTTTGCTATATAATGAACCGAAATCCAAATGATTAAACATCAACAAAACAAATTTGAGTTTTTTAAAAAAATGAAGTCTCTAAGAAGCTGGGGTATCATCTTATTGTTTGCTTTGGAATCAAGCATTATTATCCACACATGTTTTGTAGGTTCCAACGGACAAGTTGCAGTAGAAAATTGGCATTTACCAGAAGGCAAATGGCAAGTGACTATTTACAATTATCAAACACTCAGTTTTAAATGCTCATTGCAAGTCAAAAGACGACGATTTGAACGTACAGGTTTTGGACAAGCGAGCTCAATTCCACTAGAGATTC